CGCCCCGGCTCCGGCTCCGGGTCTGCGCCGCCGGCCATGTTGGGGTCCCTGTCAGCGGTAGACGCCATCTTGGGGGTGAAGGGAAGGGGCGGGACCAGGCTCTGGCGCCATATTGGGAAGGTCGAGCGAGGGGCGGGGCCGCACCGCCCGCCGCCATCTTGGGGAGGTCGGGGAAAGGGTGGGGCCGATCCCAGTGCCTAAAGGGGCTCCGGGAGAGCTGGGGGGGGATTTGGGACAAGGGGGGGGAGTGACAGGACAATGGGAATTCCTTCCCACTGACAGAGGGCAGGGTTGGATGGGATATTGAGAAGGAATTCTTGGCTGTGAGGGTGGTGAGGCCCTGGCACAGATTGCTCAGAGAAGCTGTGGTCGCCCCATCTGCGGCCATCACAGCCAGGTTGGACGGGGCTTGGAGCAACCTCATCTAGTGGAAGGTGTCCCTGCCCTTGGCAGGGAATTTGGAATATGATCTTTAAGGTCCCTCCCAACCCAAACTGTTTCATGACTAATTTCCCACCTGCCTTTTGGAGGGGGCCATGGCTACAACTGTGGGGGAGGTAAAGCCTTTTAGCACCAACAGAGCCTCACGCAGAGAGGTTTTCCTAAAAGAATTTATTATTTCAATTTTATATAAAAACAATACAATCAACACTTGGCCAAGGCTGGTTTCCCAGCTCACATCAGACCCTTTTTTCATGATAAAAAAAATACAAACAACAGCTAAACACAAGGGTCAGGATTTCGGGAAAGCCCTTTGATTTCCGAAAGCACCTTTCATTGACTGCACACTAATTACACCTGGCATGATACAGGAGGAAATCAAGCCATAATCTGGGATACGGAAAAATAGAAATCTGCCTGTACATACTCCAGCAAATACAATTCCCTGCGAGGGCGTATCTTTGGTCTGTGTTTATCGAGCACCTCACCCCACTGCTCCAGCGCCGGGTTCATGATTGGAGCGCGGTGGGAGAGCAGCTGTGCGGGGATGGGAGCACGAGGTATTTTGAAGACTGCCAGAGAAACCCTTTTTGTCCATAGAAAAGTGAGGGAGGATCTGATCCTGACCTCCTCAGCTGGGAGCACCTCAGCTCCAGGGTGGGAAATGGCCCAAATTGAGCCAAGGGGGCCAGGAAACACGCAGACTCCCCAAAAACCCCGCCATCCACGGTGACACCGATCCTCCCTCAGTGAGGGGAACGCGGGTACTGGGTTGAGTGGGTGTTGGAGGGGGGTTTGGCCACCCCTGGGCAGAGACCGAAGTGAGTCCAGAGGGGTGAAATGAGGCGGGGGCAGCTGGGAGTCCCTAATCTTCTTCCTCCCCACCGCCGTAGAGCTCAGCCAGCTTGCGGAAGCGGCCGCCCCAGTCGTTGAGGTAGTCATAGTCCTGGTCTTCGTCGGAGTTGGAAGAGTTGAGGGAGCTGAGCGAGGTGGCCTCCGAGCCACTGCCCTCATAGTCGAACACCAGCAGCGAGTCGTAGGGGGGAGCTGTGGGGTCTGTGTCGGCCGCCTTCAGGTTCTGTTGGGGGGTGGAGGGGTCAGTACCTGTCCACCCTGCACTGGGGGCACCCCAATTGTGCTGGGATGGATGGGGGTGTCACCTCGTGGACTCTCTCATTCAGGACTCACCTCATCGATGAAGTTCCCGATCTCATCGGGGTTGGCAGGCCGGGGCCGGTACTGGGGGGCAGCCATCAGTGGGGGGGCCACGTCATTGCGGATCACCTCAGGACGGGCATCCAACCCGCGGTGCAGTTGGCTCAGGTCATAGTCCTGGGGGGACACGAGGAGACAAGGCTCAAGGGACAACCACAGACACCACCACTGGGACCCAGCAGGCAGGGGCTGGTAGGCACAGCCATTCCACCTGGTCCTCCTCGCCGCCACCCTCCTCGTCGTAGTGATAGACATTGTCCCTCATATCGTCCTCGGGAGGCAGCAGTGGCTCCTTCACCACCTTTCTTCTCCTCGCGAAAAGCAGCAGCAGCAGCAGCAGGACTGTGGGCAGAGGGACAGGGTATCAGGGCAGCAGGTTAAGGGCAGCCCTGTCCCTGTCCTGTCCGTCCCCCTCCCATGGTACTCACTGAGCAGCGCCAGGATGCCCCCCAGGATGCCCAGTATGGCAGGGACGCCCATGCCCCCGGAGACATATGCTCGGCGCTCGCAGTTTTTGGCTGGCCCTTCGCAGCTGCAGACCTGTGCTTTGACCGGCGTGATCTGATCCTTGCCCTGGGCATCCAGCAGCTTCAGGAAGACGCTGTACTCCCCTGGCTCCAGCTCCTTCCTCATGTTCAGCTTCACCAGGTCTTGGTGAATCACGGAATTGTTTGGGTTGGAAAATGCCTCCACAAGATTATTGAGTACAACTGTTCCCCCAGAACTGGCAAGGCCACCACTAACCAATGTCCCCAAGTACCACGTCCACATGGCTTTTAGATCCCCCAGAGACAGGGATGATGGCTCCATTACTGCCCTGGGCAGCCTGTTCCAGTGCCTGACAACCCTTTCCATGAATGAATTTTCCCCAGTATTCAACCTAAACCTCCCCTGGCACAATTTGAGGCCGCTCCCTCTTTCCTGGTACTTGTTCCCAAGGTTCAGAGCCTGACCTCCACCTGGCTCCACCCTCATGTCAGGTAGCTGGAGAGAGCAAGAAGGTTCCCCCTGAGCCCCTTTTCTCCAGGCTGAGCCCCCCCAGCTCCCTCAACCACTCCTGGTGCTCCAGACCCTCCCCCAGCTCTGGTTTAGGGTCAACCTTGGCACCAGCACAGGACTTTGCCCTGTGGCACTTCCCCAGCCTAATGCCCACTATGGGCCCTGCACCAGCACAGATGGCACCCACCTGGTGGAGTCATCTTGAGAGTCCAGTTGATGCTGGAGCCATGCACCAGCTCTGCCCTGAAGGGAAAGGTGTTGGGGGGCAGATCCTTGTCCACGATGTTCAGTATCTGCTCCTCAGGCTGCCGGTTGCAGATGTCAAAGTTCCGGGGCTCTGGCACAGGCCCATTGTCATTCACATCCTGGAGGAGGAGGAGCAGTGTCCCTGTGCCAGTCTCCTGTGGTGACCCTGTGGGGCTGAGAGTCAGTGAGGCTCCCGGGGAGGGCCCCCAGGAGCCGCGGGGGGATAGAGGTGCAGCAGCCCCCTCCCCAGGGCGCGGCCGTCACCCTCACCGCTGTCCATGGCCAGGACGATGGCCTTGTAGGTGCTGTTGATGGCATGCGCTGACTCCCGGTCCAGTGGCTGTGCCGCTGTGACAATGCCAGTCTCGGGGTCAATGGTCAACCACCCCGCAGGGTCGCTGCCCATGCGGTACCTGGGGGGAGCCAGTGGTCAGCAGGGGGAGATGAAGGCACGCTCAATGCAGCACAACCCCTCCTGCACCCCAGCACAGCCCTCTGCCACTGTCACCCTTCACTCACGTGATTTTCTGCCTCTGGTCCTTGTCAGGGTCCTTGGCTGTGTAGGAGGTGACCTGGTAGCCCACTGGCACATCCTCCCTCACTTCCACTTTCTTGACCGGGGGCACGAAGATGGGGGGCTCGTTCACATCCCTGACCGTCACCAGGACACTGGCCGTGGCAGGCCTCAGGGGCACGGAGAAGGGGACCTCATTCTCCACCACCACCACAAGGTGGTACTGCTGCTGGGTCTCATAATCCAGGCCCTGGGGGAGGGAAAGGAGCTGGGTGGTGCCAGAAGGGAGGTGGCTGGTGCTGAGGTGGCCGCGTGAGACTGGTACCCACCTTGGCGGTTTTCAGGAGCCCATCATTGGTTTTGGGGTCAGTGGTGATGTTGAAGTCACCCATTGGGTCCCCACTCTGGATGCGGTAGACGGCCTTCCAGGCCGGGGAGCCTGGCATGTCTTGGTCTGTCACGTGCAGCTGAGCCACCACCACCCCAGGGTCATTCTCATCCACTGACCCCTCGTACTGCAAGAGCGGGGACAGTGATGGTCACCCCTGTGGCCTCAAGCACCCTGTGTGGGGGCTTGTGCCACGATGCCCAGGGAGAGCAGCGGCTGTGGGGCCGGGGGGTACCATGTCGGGGTCGAAGACAGGAGGGTTGTCATTGGTGTCAGTGACTTTGATGATGGCAGTGGCAGTGTTGGTCAGGCCGAAGCCCTCCTGGTCTGCAGCCTGGATGATCAGTGTGTAGTTGGGAGTGGTCTGCAGGGCAAAATCACACAGGTTAGGGCAGGGGTAGGGGCCAGGATGATTCCCTCCTCCGGGTATTGCCTGCCTGCCCCTCCACCCTTCTTTGGCTTCACTGTTCCCTGTTGGCACAGATGCAGTCGACGTCCCCACTGCCCATCTGAGGGGCTGGCATGTGCCTGCTCCTGGGGCTTAGCAGGACTGGGAGTCCCTGTGATGGCACTCATGGCTCAGCAGTGCCGGGGGTCCATGCAGTGTCCCTAGCACAGCCCCCAATGGGCTCAGGGCTGCAGATACCCCCAGAGCTGGGGATGGGGACCCAGGGATGTCAAGTCCCTGAACTGGACGCACCCCAGGATTTCAACATCCCCAGTCTCCCCTTGGCATGTCCCTCTGCAGAGGTGTCGCAGGTTCCCCTGGGACACGGCGAGGGCACCCACCTCCCGGTCCAGCCCTGTGCCGATGACACTGATGATGCCCTTCTCGGGGTTGATGGTGAACATCTCCTGCATGCCCTTGGGCTCCTCGCTGAGGATGGAGTAGCTGATAATGCCGTTGTTCACGTTGATCGCATCGTCTGCATCCGTGGCACTCACGGTCATCACGGATGTTCCTGGACATCGGGACAAGCCGGGGAGATTTTACTCATGAGACAGAGCCCACTGGACACCCTGGAACTGCCCCTGCTCGGGGCTCTGTGTGGTCCCAGCTCAGAGTTCCCCACGCACCCGGCTTGGCGTTCTCCTCGATGTAGCCAACAAAGACTTGCTGGGTAAAGACGGGCCGGTTGTCATTCTGGTCAGTGACGGTGATGATGATCTCCATGGGGTCCTCCACAGGCTGCCCATTGGCTGACACAGCATGGGAGTAGAGCTGCAAGAACACAGTCAGCCTGCATGCAGCCCCCAGGACTGTC